AAGTTTACCAAAATATCCTTAATGAAAATGATGAAGTGTATTAAATGAGATGGTAGAGGTGTAATAAATAAACTACGTAGAGATAATTATGGTATTTTAAATGTTAAAACAGACAATGGGAAGATTTATGAGAAACAAAAAAAGGATAATGAAAATAAAAAATGAAATTCTTGACTAACACACCAATTTAAAATATGATAATAATAATTATTTTAATAGATAAATAATATTATAGTACTAAGAGAGAAATAAAAATATAATCTTGAAAGTAAAATCTAAAATTGGTCTCAAATTATAGGTGATTTTTCATATTGAGTCTCCAATTCTAAGATATTATATAAATGGTCTTTAATTTCCAAAAATAATTCCACAAATAGTCATTTAAGAAAAGAGTGATGCTTACATGATCCTAAGGTCAACATTTAAAATGTGGATCTTCTCACATTTTTCATGTGGTCCTTAGGACAAATATGACAAAATATTTTTTTCACATATAGTTCCTAATAGACATATTATAGAATAGTTTTAAAACCATGAGGATGATTTATCTAATTCCTTTGTACTAGGGACTAACTATATAAAACCACATGTAATTAAAGATTTTGTATGCAGCTACTCTATTTCTTGATAATCATATATTTATAATTTAAAAGAAAAAAGATTAAAGTAAGAGTAAAACATATAAAATATATCAAAATTGGAGTTTCATGTTTTTTCTTTTCAAAATAAGAATTAAAAAGTATTTACAATGTCAATCATGCCGATGTATAATACTAAAAATGTTAAATGTATATATACAGTGTCACATTAACACAATGTGAACTCCTATTTTGTGATAAAAATATGAAACTTTTATTCTTAGTACTTTTTCCATGTTTTACTCCTATTTAAGGTGATTTGTTTAGTTTAAAATACCAAATGACAATAAAATTTTGAATAGAATATATAAATACAATTTCAATGTTTCTTGTGGTACTGAAAATAGGTAGAAATGCCCCATTGCCCCGTCTATGTTCAAAATTTATTCATAAAAACCTAATCGTTTCAAAAGATTGCACAAATATCCCATCGGACTATTTTTTTGTTCATTTTTTCCGGAGAAGAAAGGGCATTGTTGCTCATAAATTTAATTCGTTTTTATTTCTCTTTATAAAATGTTCTTTATATTGTTTCTAACTTCATTTAGCTTAGAAGAAACAACTGAACGAAAAAATTAACATATAAATTATATGTCTCAAGTTAAACATTTTTATTTTTTTGCCAAATAAAATAAAAAATATATAAAATAAAAGAAAAATGAAAAAGGAGCGAGTAAGAAAATGAAGTTCCGTCCAAAGCAAACCAAATTCATTTGTTTGGGAACATCGTTACAGATGAGCGTTAACGTTTTGAACGTTTAGTATTAGAGCTTTCAAAACTGATTTGCACCGATAAAATTTTTTCGAAAACGCTGATGATAATCGAAAATAGGCCCTTCATACCACTTATGTAACCAAACATGGGAAATGAGACTTGGATTTTTGGAAAAATATTTTCTACCAACAAAATAGATATTAAGAGTTAAAGTGCAAAATAACAAAGCCAGAAAAACATAAGATAAATTATAGGAGAAAAATTGTTTAACCACATCACACATGTTAAAACACTATATCCTTATCCTTAATCCTTAATATATAAAAAGCAGACTCCGGACTGCAGGAACACGATATTTGGCGGATTTAAGGTATGACATGTGGTGGAGCTGTCGTGTCATTCTTTGACAAGAAATATGAGAGAAATAAAAAATTGTTCATGTCAAAAACATTAAAAATAGATTTGGATTCTAGAAGAATTAAATACTTATTTCCTTTTTTTAATTCTTCTATTCTCAATTGTTTTCTTCCTTTCCTTTTATTCATTTTTCTAAAATGATAATTACTTTTATAAAAAAACTTATTAATTAAAATTTATCATTTACAATAATTTTGCCCGAATTTCAACTAATCTTAAAAATTACACAAGAATTTTGGTGTTTAAATATTTTTTAATAGAATAAAATAGTGATAACAATTATATATATTCAATCATACTACATCGAAATATCTATAAATTATGTTATTTTCTCGAATTATTGAAAATTTCTATTAAAAATATTTTTAAGAATTTAAAGTACCAAATTTTAATTAATTTTACCAAAATTTCCTTTCATGCTAGAATTTTAAAAATCTAGATGTTCTAATTCTCTATTTTTTTGGCTCTTATGTATCTAAACTGTAGGATCGTTTTTCTGGAATTTCCCAGTGGGTCACCCATCCTGGGACTACTTTCGTTCCAGCACGCTTAACTACAGAGTTCTGAAGTTAAAGAGGTGCCAAATGCTTCCTAAAACCAATTGGTAATAGAAAGGTGGACACTTTGTATTTAACCACATCTCTCTGTAGCCCCAAGCCGAGGTAGATTCCTATAGGGCACCCCCTATAGTTCACTACGGCAGTGCGGAGCCCCACTACTGAGCGGTGGATGGACAGGAGGGGCTTCGCAAGATACACGACTCGTGTACCTCGTCAAGTTGGGCTGTCAATACCCGATACCGTGACTAGCACAGTAGCGAATCCCTAAGGGTGATCGATGGTCCCCCATAAGACCAACATAAACAATTATTCTAGGAGAATGATTTTTCGTGATACTTATATTCTCCTAGAATAATTGTTTAGATACATATATATTTCCCACAACCAAATGCATTCTTAACTTCCAATGTTTTCTAATTTTTTCAATTACTTTCCAACTTCTTTTAGTATCTTCCAACAGTTTCTAGTTTCTCACAGCTCAATTCTTTTAACTTTTCCCAATTTTTTTCAAATTTCTCTCAACTATTTTTAGTTTTATCTAACATCATTTAATTTCTTTCAATAGTGATTTAAAAATTATTTGCGTTTATTTTTATAATAGTAGTAATAATAATATTATTATTATTACTTTTATCAGAATGGTTCTAGAGCCACTTGCTCCGGGGTGGAAGGGTTTACCAGGATGTCGAGGTTTGAACCATCAATTTTGTGAACGGAGCACCGTAGGTCCTCCAATTGAAGATAGTGTCATCGTGAGCCACTCAAAGTGAGTGGATGTAGAATCCCTCCATATTATTATTATTCTTATTATTATTCTTATTATTATTATTATTATTTTATTATTATTAAAATTAAAATTATTATTATTACTATTATTATTACTACTACTACTATTATTATTACTATTAAAAATGTATGAAATTTGGAATTTTTACTTAATGTAAATGCATATACAACGAATAAACAAAAAAAATCATCGAAAATTTATAATATGAACCTCTAAAACAGGCACCACGATGACACTTTATTATCCATATTTGTGTTTTTATAATTTTGTTTCAGTTAGTTTTTATTTTTAATAATTTAATTTAATTATTTTTCTAGTCTTATTTAGTGAGGTGAAAAAATATTATATTAGAAAGTAATGTTTTTTTTCTAGTTTTAGATTATAATATCCACCCTCTTTTTAAAACCTAGTTGTAAATCTATATGATTTCCAAAAGTTTCATGTATGCCTCCTCCGTTAGTGAAACTCAGGCATTTGTGTTTCACGCTACGAGAGTGCAACTGAAGTTTGACATTGGGGGGGAGGGGGGTTAGTACTCATTTTCTACACAATAGGGGCAAAGAACGTGCTTTATTTTTATTCATTTTTTAATTTGTTTCTTTTTCTTTCTCCTTTTTCTTCTCTTTGTTTCATTTCAAGAAGTTTTTTTAAAATTTGTTTTTATAATTAAGCCTTATTATTTTTAAAAATTTAAAAATTTTTCATGTTTGAAATAAAGAAAATAAAAATATATTATATATATTCTCTGTCTCAAATTAATTTTTTTATTTTCTAAAATAAAACAAAAAATACTTTTTGAGACATTCAAGAATAATGAGGAATATAATAACAAAATGGTACAAAAGAATAACAAAATGAAATGGAAATAGATACAAAAAAATATTCTAATAGAAAAAATAAAAGCGAAGTCATGGAGAGGGGTGATAATTTTTTGCAAGGTCCAGAAAAGTCTCTATTTTTTTGTGATGTCTCAAAAAAATTATTCTTTTAAATTTTAAATATAATTAGAGGACAATTACAATACTTTGAAATTGTTAGGCGTCAGTCCAAAAAAGTATTTGTGTTTATCATTCTTAAAGAACTTTATCCAAAAATTTAAATTTTTGGACGTTCCAAAGAAAACTTTATCAGTCAACTTTATAGATACATTTCTACTTTTCAATAAGAGAATGTTTGTATCCTTTTCTTTTTCATTTCATTTTTTTATTTTTCTTTTGTTTTCTTTCTTTATCTATTTTTTCTTTTTATTTTTTGAACGTTTAAAAAATAATTTGTTTACTTTTGAAAACTTAAAAACGAAAATATTTAACTTTAGATAGAGAAAATATATGTTTTATTTTTTATTTTGGTTTTTTCATTTTAAATACAAACTAGTTTGAGTTTTGAAACATTATAAAGAAGAATTTAAAAAAAAGTTTAAGAATGATAATAGGCACTAACGTCCATGTGGATTGGAAAACAAACATCAATGTCCCCCTTTTTTACGAAAAAGAACGGAAAATAATACAAATCTAGGTGGTGAGTGTGCAAGCTTTTGAAATGACAAACATATTTTTAAATAACTTTTGAAAACAAATGATATATTCATACTTATTTTTCAAACCACATGGATCAATAAAACTATTTTAATATATTCTATTCAAAATTATATGTCTCATTCTAAACTATAAATATATGAATATCAAGATTATATTTTTTTCAATTCTCAATTTTTTATTATAATATTTTTTCTCTATGAAAAATTATGTTCCAATAAAGGAAAATAAAGAGCCAAAAAGTCATACTAATAAAGATGATGAAAATATATTTTTTAAAATTTGTATTACCTTTTTGTAAATATTTTCATTCTATCCTTTATAAACACTCCTAATTTCATAAATAAACTATTAAAGACTATCAATACCGTGATATGAATATATGTAATATCTTGTTTTTTTAAATTTACTTATTTATAGTAGTACACTTCATTTCATAGATATTTATTTATACAACAAATAGATTTATTCAGCAAAAAAGCACATAAATAGAGCAATGGCAGGAAGTGAAGACTGTGTGATATAATATGGAGGGAGCATATCACTTTACTTGTCCATCCAAATGACACACCGTAAGCTTTTCCCTTGCACTAGCAACTCAAAAGCCGTGTTGATGTCTTCAAAACTCATTTCGTGAGTCACGAATTCGTCCAGACGTAACTCCTGCATATAAAAAGAAAGATAAAAATGTGATCGATATTCGGGTCGAGAACAAGAAAGAAAAAAGAAGTCGACTTTGGGATGGGAATTCAGTGTAGAATAGATATGTTTTCTTACCCCGTCCGTGTAGCGCTTGGCAAGGAGGGAAATGTCGGATTTGGGTTTGAGACCTCCGAATAGGGACCCCATGAGGGTTTTGCCACTGTGAAGAACCTCACAAGAGCTAAAGCACACTTGTGCCCCTGGCTTATCAACTCCTACCACCACTGTCTTGCCCCAACCCTGAATTTTTTTTAACAAACCCCTTAATGTATTGCAAGGGGATAGAGAAAATGATCCCTAATGGGACTAAACCATGGAATATTTACACAAATAAGACCTTTTCTACTTTTTACACAAAGAAAATGACTTATTTGGTCCTAATACGGTGCATCGCAAATTTTCAAACCCATTTTTAACCTTTTGTTTTTCTCCTTTATAACCGTTGACCCGTTTACTGACTTCGCGAGTGTCGTACATACTGCCTACACAATTGGACAGTAATGACGATTTTCAGTGCATATTATCTTCATGACTGGGCAGTAATGTTGGTTTTCAGTGCATTCTGCCTTCACAATTGGACAGTAATGACAGTTTTTAGTGCATACTGTCTTCGTGACTTTCGGCAATAATGTTGGTTTTCAATAAGGGCAGTATAGTCTTTTAGCAATGTTTTAGTCCCATGTGTGAACTGGGTCCTATTTGCTTAGAACACTATTGTTTTTAGTCTTATCTACGTATTCTTGTATACCGAAATATGCATTTTAAGGGCAAAAAGACCTTTCGGCAGCTGGCATATGCTTCCTGCACCAACGTTGCCATGCCCACACATTCAAAGCAATAGTCTGCACCACCCTCCGTCATCTCGCATATCACCTGCTCAAGAAAAGAAATTAAAAACACGATTTTCTTCTCTTTTCCAAAAAGCCAGAGTCACAGATTCAGATATACTGCCTGGCTAATTGGTTTATCCCCACATGTCGAAGAGTTTACAAAATCAGTAACCCCAAATGTTTTACCTACAAGGAAATGAAATGGAGAAATAAACTTGGGAGATCAAATCATAGAATACAAATTTAACAAGGTGAAAGATAAAAGGTATTCACCAATCTTGAACTTTTCTGGATTTATATCCACGCCAATAATCCTTTTGGCACCACAAAGTCTGGCTCCCTCTGCAACCTACAAACCAACTAATAATTATGGAACCAACTATTGCAAATTTGCAACGCACAGACAATTGTTGTCAGTGTGCGTCTCTGATACACTTGGTGTACAAGTTGGGGTACAAGCTTGGTGTATCCCTAGTGGCACACCTCTAACTGCAAATAATAAAAGGCAAAATAAAGCAGGAGTACCGCCAATCCAATCGCTCCCAACCCAAAGATAACAACAGTTGATCCTGGTTCAACGTTTGCTGTTTTTATAGAAGCGCCTAACCCTGAAACGAAAAGGGAAAAAGTTGATATTTTTTTCCCCAAATTCAGCACCCAAATTGTAAATGTAAATGTTTCTTTCTGAAACAATAATGAGATAAATAAATAGATGAACCAGTGGGTTGGGTTGGGCTTACCCGTTGAGACTCCGCAACTGAGGAGGCATGCCCGGTTTGGTGGGAAGGTAGGAGGAATCTTTGTGACATTAGCAATGTCAACAACAGTGTACTCACTGAAGCTTGATACAAACAGAAAGTGGTGTATAGTCTCTCCTTTGAGGTCAGTAAATCGGCTTGTTTCGTCTCTTGGCAGAAAAGGAGAGATCCTAAATGGTAATTTCCCACATAGATTGCTTTTCTTGGATTTGCAGTCCAAGCATTCCGCGCAGTCCGTTAAAAATATTGGAATTACTGAATCCCCTTCCGTTATCTCCTCAACATCTTCTCCCACACTCTCTACAACCCTATGTTTATTTAGTACACACAGCATTACTCCGTTCAGTAATCAAGAAGCAAAATCACAAAACCAATATGAGTGACTTCATGTACTCTATATGCTATAACCATTTATTAATGAATAGTTTATGTAGAAAGAGAATTAGAATGCACTAGATTTACCCATATGCTTCATGACCCAAGATTCTTGGAAAACACCCGGGATATTGCTGGAGTGCAAAACAATAACAATACAGTAAGGTGTCACACATGGGAAGGATACTTTCTAAAGAAAAAACCGATAGAGTATAAATCAGCAATGGAATTACTTGTAGTCTCCAGAAGGTAACATCACTATGACATAGAGAAGTGCAGATGATCTTAATACGAACTTCACGGGAACGGGGAGGGGCCACGATGATCTCCTCTATCACCAGTGGCTCTCCAGCTTTCCTTGCCACCGCAGCTACACCACATTCAATGAAACCACATACAACTATAAGTCCATCACTACATAGACACACACACACACACACACACACACATATCAGTCAAACAGTAGCCAATGTATCATAAAGAAGTAGAAAACATGCCTCTGCATCGAATTGGCTTCCCAGCCGTTTTTCCATTTGGTGCTTGTTCTTCGACTTTTGAGTCCATGTCCAGAATGAAAAACAACAAACACTCCCCTCTCCAACCTGCAAAACAAGTTTCATTATGTTTCTAGGGCTAATAAGGGAGGCTGTATTGTAATCCCATCATTGCATTTCAAACTACTATTCAAAAAAAATTGTAATGCCTGAATCTATATTCAATATCTGACATCTTTCAAAAAAAATTTATTTAAAAAATTGTATAAAAATAAAAAAATAAACTCACATATTAAAAAACTATGTCAAAAGTTCTACAAAACAAGATGTGACAAGAATATTTTATTTTATCAAATAAATAATTAAACCACACAAATACTTTGATCCTCCCCTCATCTAGCTTTTGTTGTCTTTTTTTGCGGCGTCCAAAATTAATTGTTCACCAAAAACTACTACTCCGTATGAGTTACTTCTTTTGTATAGATTTAGTTGTCTACTTTCTAACATTGTTCATATTAAAGGAGTGTAGTGAAATGTCAAATAAATCTTTAGAATGAGCTTATTATTCAAATGTAAACAAAGTAACATGTGATATAAATGATACTCCCCCTTGTCCCAAATTTAGGTTGCGTTTTGTTCGCCTGATCTGATATGATATGATTTTTTGAAGATATGGTCTATGATCTGGTTTGATCTGATTGCAGTTATAACTAAAGTTGTTTCTGATCTGGTCTGATCAGATTATAATAAGAATAAGTAATAAACAGAAAAATAAGTTGAACGAAACGTTGCCTTAATGCCTAAGTTTGACTTCACAAAATGAGTGGTTGGAAAAAGTTTGACTTTTTAATTATATGAACTATGAAACGGAAAATTTGTAAATTTTGTGACTTTTTGTTCGTGAGCTTTCTAAAAAAAACTAAATTTTTTAAGAGATGAGTTCAAAATGTAAAATAAATCCTTGAAATGAGTTTGTCACTCATTAAAGAAGTGAAAGATGTTGAAAAAAGTGTTGAAAAATGAAAAAAGGTGTGGTTAGAATTTGATTCGAGGGAAAAAAAACTTTTTGGGACGGATGAGAAAAAAGGAAGATCTACATGGGAAAGTTTGAGTATATTTCAGACAATTCATAATAATTTTCACATTAAATATGAAAAAAGGGACAACTAAATCCGCACAAAAAGAAAAAACGAAAACTAAAGTATAAGATTAGCTCTTAGCAGAGCACTGAAAACCTAAAACAAAACCCATACTTATCAAAAAAAAACATTACTAATAACAACAAAAAAAGAACTACTTATGCGTACCGGATCTCAACTGGAAACGAATTGGATTAAGGTGGAGAAATCATAAGGAACTGCGGAATTTGAAGTTTGGGGGAAGTTGCGTTTTCTGGGAATTAGGTGGACGGAGAAATACTCAGAAAGCCTGCTGGCTTTAGCTTTCTTGAATGTGGATTCTGGTGCAGATATATTCACCTGTAGAAAAGTGAAAGAAGCTTTAATGCTTAAACGAGGAAAAATGTTTGTTTCTTAAGTAACAAATAAAAGAAAAGAGCTCGAGTAAAATGTTTCTACCGCCATTTGTTAATGTCACCCGTTCAATGACTTCAATCCGGGACACTCCTACTGTGAAAATGGAAAATGCTTGGACAACCACTTTTATGGAACATGGAACAGTTCATAAAATTGATGGTCCATGCCCCTCTAGCCCTCCATTAAACCTTCACACTCTGCCCCGATCCGAACATAATCTCTACCTTTTTCAATTGCACCCGACAAATTAATTTTGACTTTGAAGTCACTTCAAAGTCAAAACTATTTTGTGGGGTGCAATTGAAGGAGGTATGAACCATCAATTTTACGAATAAGACACTGAAGCATCCCTGGATCTAGGGGTGGACACGGTACCGGTACGGTACCGTCACCGGCAACGGTACCGCCGGTACCCGCCACCGTCACCGGCAAGGTCGCCGTGTCACCGGTTCCGGGAACCGGTACCGGTACCGCCACTTTCGGTACCGGTTCCGGTACCTATTTTTTGGTACCGGTACCGGCGGTACCGGTCCGGTTCCGGTACCGGTATAATTTTTTTTTTTTTTT